ATATAGAATTTTTCATGTGTCATATATGCGGAGGTGCGTTTAGGTGACCCAATCGCCCCTTTGGCAGCTTCCTTAGCCAACGATATCCGGTTCGTCCAGGCAATGGAAGAGGTGAAAACAGACATTGGATTTGCTCGCGCATGGGTACGGCTCAGCCTCGAAAAGAAGTGCCTTTCGAAACATCTTAAAACACTTCTGTCAAATCAAGAGCTGCTCAGGCAAGTACAAAGAAGAATGAAGTATGTGCCAGTACACCTCACTCGAGCGCGTACAAACACTGATGCTTTTATTATTTATTCAACAAATAAGGAACATTTCATGTTGCCTGTGATTCAGTTTCGAAACTGTATTATGCACATGCTAAGGTGAACAAATACATAACTTAATTTTTGAGAAGCTTGTTCCAGCGGTCAATTTGGATTTTTCGTTAATGTGTTGATCCAACGAAATGTTACTACGCTATGAACCTAGTCCTCGTCCCTTTGAAAGCCTTAGGCTCGGAAGACGAGCAAATGATCGTGTTATTGTTCCCATCACGACACAGGATGCGCTTATATGCTAATTCGATCTAAGTCTTGCAGGAATCTTTACAAGCGTCATGCGTTCCTACGTTCGGATGACGAGAAGGAGTACTTCGTGCATTATTTACTCACGCTGAATGCGCTTGATTACACGTGCTTCACAACGAGTTACGTTCTCACCGTCTTGCCCTACCGGGTAACAATTTTCCCGACGCGGAAACACCACAGCCAGACCACGCAGTCAAATCTGTGGGTCACCGTTAGCGGTACACTGGCGCATACCGACAAGCCGCTCCACATCCCTAAACCGAGCTTCGAAATAGTCTTTAAGGTAACTCGAAATCGAATACATTGCTGCATAATGCTGCCATGTGTTAAACATTGTTTAGCGCTGATCCGTAGCGTCGATGATAATATTAGATCGTGTAATTAATAATCGTTCTTCGTTTTTATGGCTTAATTACTCGATGCAGGCCCGGAACCTGGGAACGTTAACAACAATGCGCGTAGGTTACGATGGTACAGGACTTAATCCGAAGACTACCATTGAGAACGTTCTTGTTCGTAATGAGCTGACCGGGCAATGCGTGCGTTTTCCAGCGGGCAAATGGCTTGGCAGGGGACTCGATGATCTATCTACTGAGAGACTTCTTATTGCCGGTAAGACAAAAACGGTTGGTTTTTTAATGGCTCTGCCTTGTCAACCTGTTATCGTTTTGCTTCGAAACGAAAACAATATATGTGCGTACTTTCTGAGTTGGCTAGTTCTTTTCAACTTATTCCTATCGCTCTATGACCTGAAATAATTTGAATTAATTAACCTGTTAATTTGATAATTATTCATATGCCTGTATCTGATTTTAACTGAAAAATCACATACATTAATTAAATAAAATGAGGAGGTCGTAAAACCTTTCCTTTTCCTTGCATATTTCACACGTTCTCTCTGTTCAGGTTGACTGCAGTGTCAGCTCGGTGTATGTTTACCTTTTGAACCCACCAACACGTACCTTTGTACACCTTTTCCAACCGTGCCCCATCACCTAAGAAAAGCTATTCTCTCCATAATTCTAATCTAGATTTTTAATAAAATTCAATCAATGTCATAAAGTTTGATGACGAGTTAAACTTGTAAAAAAAAAAGCTGACAAGTGGTCAGACTGGTTGTTAGCAGTAGGCGTAATGTTAATCGTGCGTATGTAACTTTTTTATCGCAAATTCGTACAGGAGCATCCGACATCTTACCGTTCCAATTATGCCACATGCGGTGCCATTAGAATCATTTTCATTGATGATTTGACCGGCATTTATTTTTCCTGTCCCTACTATTTTTTAGAACATCTAGCTTTGGGCATGCCTGAAACAGAAATTTATGAGTTGTGCAGGAGCACCACGCGTCCTGGATCTCCATCTTTTCCGCGCAGATCATCCGATCCAAAAATCACCGTACAGGTATGATGGTCGACGATAGCACAACACACATTACATTGCAGGCTAATATATGCTATAGTTAGGAATCTAACGAATACACTATTTTTGCTCATAGATTTTTCGCTCGAAATTAATGGGAAAAGTGCTGCCAAGGTGATTGAACATGTATAGGAAAGTATCCAGAAATCCACTCCCTTTTTATCTAGCTAGCGTAGAAAAGGTACTTCAGTGAGTGTTGCTTCATTAAATTTAATATGTTTGTTTAAATTATAGGAAGTCCAGCAGTTGGTAAATGATGCTGTGGTCACGATTGTCAAACATCACCATCGCCCGCAGAATGAAAAGTCCACCTTGACAGCGTTACTCTGCGGAGAATTTGGCCTGGTTTACGCGCTTGATAAACTCTTCAACTTCGGCTTCAAGGTTTGTTCCAAACGTAACGTAAAAGCTTAAAGTAATACTGCGTCCTGTTACGGAGAATTTTCAGAAGCAAGATATTTCCAGGAAATGTGTGATTTACCGGTTCGGTATTCGTGTACAATCGGATAGTAGGACGCATTTTTGTTAATACCTAGACAAAACGCGAAGTCTTTGGGGGTTTCCAGAGCTTTCACTTCTATAGCAGAGGATAGAAACGGGTTATTTATACATTCACGTGTTAGCTTGCGCTTTTGTGACCGGTTGTGTGATTTACGAAAACTCTGTAGCTACAATATCATCTGTCTTAACAAGTTGTGAATGATTGTTTGTTTTAGGAGTATATATATATATATACATATACCATTATATATATATAATGGGGGACCAATAACAATTGTTATAGCTTTATTTATAATACTTCGTATAAGTTATCGTTTATTTTGGACTTCTAGTAGTACTTTCAGATACAACAAAAATAGATAGATGCCATTGTGTGGTATTTTCTATTGCGTTAATAACATATGATCATGTTTAACAGCAAACTATGATCCAGCGACCTATTCTGGTGAGTTACACACATTTTCCTATTTAGCTCTTATGTACATGTTTAAATGTTGACTAAACTAAACAAGATTGACGCTGAGGAAAAACTGATGTTACGTTTCCAATTGTGAAACAAGCAGGATATATATATCAATCTCCTTTTTCTCGTTTTGCCTAACCTTTTTCATTATAGTGAAAAATGAGCGTAACCAAAATAAATAGGTAATTTCAACAAAGATCACCTTTATCTGTGTCTCTGTTCCTCTAGTCTCAAGCTGTATTCAGATGAGATGTTACATTTTGGAAAAAAATATCACTGCAGTGGTGGAAATTGAATTCATTGTACCGTATCTAATCAACTATTTGTACCTTTTAGGGAGTTCGTGGGCCTCGACATCTATTCTTGTGGGATTTTTTCTTGAGGGTTCAAGAATTCTTCGAAGAGTTTCTCTCTGAAAATGAATCGGTACTGGATGCAAAGAATCGTGATGAGCATTTCAACGTAATGAACGGTTACATTAACATTGTTTCAAAAATTGAAAAAGCCGCGGCGCATACCGTCGGCAAAGATCAACGATTCCAGGTGGGATGATGACGCATAAATATTATCAGAGATCAATACAGTCGTTGATTATACCAATTATTATCTAGTTAGATAATAGATAGTATATTATAATATCCTTAGAAGATCGCTTTTTGGTCGATCTATAGTGTTTTTTATTTACTATATATAAGACAGACGAAAATATTCAATGTAATTGAAGCATGATTGCTTGTTTTATACCGAATTTAGCGAATCTTATCATAAATTTATCGTAAATTGTTGCCCTGCCCTATTCCCTAGGCGTTTATCTGCTTCGCCTTGCGGGAACGCTTTCTTCATCGAATGATGGTGCACGTCGCCTCAACACCGGTAACTTCTCAGATGTTCGACGAGCAGTCTTTCCTGCGAGACTCCTCCCTGCTAACCTTCCTCGTCCAAATGCTCGAAAACCTGGTGCAGGTCGACTTCGCAGATATTGAAGAAGCCATCACTCTTAACGTGCTCTAGTCAGCGAACGAAGGAAAAAAACGATATGAACGGGGAAAAAAAAAAATGTTAATGAAGCCTGTGGAACAGAATGCCTGTTATAATTAACATATGATCGATGTGGCATTGAAAGGTCCACGTTTGGTCAGGGTACGATGCAACAATACCTATGAACAGCAGCTGACATAACAACAATAAGAGATAGAAAAATCGAACAAAAACTTCGACAACGAGTAGATGAAAAGCAGTACCACAGTCGAAATTTCTCGCTAGAGTCCTCACGCCCGCTTTGCATTCGTATCCTCCTAAGCATTTTGGGCCTCCTGATGATACTGGTGTTGTGGCCATGTTTTTCAAGCTAAATTTGTTCGAGTTGTATTTTTCTATAGGCAAATCACTCAAGCGCGCTGTGGTAATCTAACAACCGGTATCGCCATTTAGCTGATCTTCGTTTCCCCTTCCTGGAGTAAATCAATGTTTAGTTAATTCGTTCCAGCTAAGGGAACGTCGGATTGAATATGCGGAATGAATGGAGCTTATCTAGAACAAAACCAATCTACCTAGAACAGAATTTCTAGCCAAACGCTGCCATTATGCGTATCGTCACTACTTTTGATGTTATGAAATAGCTTATTACACAAAAACCTGTGAAATCGCTGCCCAGTGTGAAGAGCAACTTTCGTGGGGATGCAATCCAGTAAATTGTTTCCGAAAATTCTTCGAAGACCAAGCGGGAGCACAAGAATATTACGGCTATAAGGCTGGAATAAAGGTTTAAGCAGCAGCAAACGCTTATGACGACCTAAATGGATTCTCATCTTGTTAAAGTAAACATTTAGCGGTTTACATAATTGTATGGCAACTTCATGGATAAGTCACTGGTTTCATTTTTGGTCAAGCTGATAACTGCGAATGCTAATGCAGAGAGTGGGATTTTTCAGAGAAGGCTTCAAACAAGGTCAGAGATGGTAAACACATTTTCCTGTCACAGGTCAGACGCAAGAATACGTGTCGTACTGTGGACCGCATTAATCCACGTATATCGCGGCTGGGATATGGACACACGATTCCGTGTCGCGCAACACCTGACTTGTACGCGATAACAGCTGTATGTAAATAAGCGCTGTGTTCTTATGTCTGCCTGACAAAGCAGAGCGGCCGTCAGTAAAAATTAGAGCTCTTCAGATGACCTTGCGCAAGGTCGTCTCAAAAGTTTGGTCTATTGGCACTCCGGGCTGCAGCTTGCGAACAACGTTGACGCGACCCGACCCGACCCGACCCGACGTATCGCAGGATAGCCGTTTGTCGTACTAGAAGACACTATGAGTATTAATGAGATCTCTTGATAAATAGACAAACGCGCATACGTACTGACAGAAGTCACCTCATTTTTTTTAGCGAGTGTGGCTATCTCTTTATTCTGAGGGTCGGAGAGCAGCACACGTACGTATTCATTGGTTTGTTTCCAATCGTGGTTTTCTCGTACGAAGCGAAACTTGGGGGCAATTGATGTTTACAATTTGTCAGATTAAAGGCTGGGTTACACACACAAAATTGATGGTAAATACGACGAGTGAGAGAAAAAGGTACTAAGATTTATATGAAGCAGGGTAGGGTAACATGTTATTTTGTGGAGGTGCACATAGTAGGATATTTTGTTGGGACGAGACAAATGATACGAAAAAGCACACGCTAACATTTTGATTTTTAGAAGGTATTTCAAATCGACCGCGCTGTTAAGTAGCTTGAGAATCTGTAGGTGGCTGTAACCAGAATGGAAGAGGGCGCATCGTTGATGCCGTACGTAATTAGCGATTCAAAAATTCGCGCGTGAATCTTGGTCGATTTGATTTTTGAATTTCAGTTGTTCTGACTTTCGATCGTAGTCTGTGATCCTTCACAGCGTGCCTCTCCATACTGTTTTGATCTAGGTGCTTTTTTTGAGCACTTATAAGGTGAATGGCTATTATTATTATCATTTGCAAATGCCAAGATTATCTGTACGCCGTCTGAGTAGTCCATCTAGAAGATGCTGACGAGTAAATCCACTGTTCTGTCTTTTTGAGCGCCCAAACTTGCCTAAAACGTAGTATAGAGTTTATTGTCAAGCAAAATATTCTTGCAAAGCATCATTAATTATAGTTATGATTACGAAAAAGTGGTATATAGCCTGATCAATACGATCTAACAAAACCTGTACAATACTCGTCCTGTCTTAAAAGGAGATTAACTAACAGTTTCATTTGCCAACTAGCTGCCCTAGGATTTGTCTACTGTCTCGTTATGATGACACCTAGTTAGACATGTAAAAATAAACGTTGAAATAATAATATTGTTATAAATCTTATTATTGATATACTTCAGACCAAAAATTCAAGCACGCAGAATGGCATCTGGATTGCCAATACAATGGATAGCGGTTCCGTGACCGGTCATAGTTGCCTGGTTCAGCTTTAGTAACATATTGAAGGTTAACAAACGCGCATTGATAATGACGCTCTGCCCAGGGATTATTGTGTTATCATATTCTGAGATTGACCTTTTATTGCTGTCAAATGTACATAAATGGCTATACAGTGTATCTCTGTACATCTGTACACACAAATGACAAATTACCAGCCCCCTTCCCTGTGAGAGATTACTCACTATGTCTATAACCAATACACCAGAGCGCGAGAAGCTAAGAAATTTTCGACGAATTTTTCTTGGATGGGAGGCCAGTTTAATTAAGTATTGCACACAGAGGCGTATACTTGTTTCTTTGTGTTATATGACAAAAATGTATAAATAGAAAATGGAAATATTTATAAAAACAGTTACTCAATAAGCCCAAATATGGTGTTGTTATGCTATTTCGATGCTTCATCCAAACTGAACAAACGAGAAGCGAGGAAAGCTGACGTAAAGTTCAGTGATCCTGTTTGAACGTGGGTGTAATGAGCTCGAGAATAGTTTATTTATTCGATGCCGTACTTTTAGTTTCACTAGTACTAGCCGGAATAATAGAAGTTTCATATAGAAATATTCAAACACGATCACATGGCGTTTCGTTAACAAGTCGATAGGAGCCCGTAAGTTCATATGTGTAGTATCTACGTGGCTGTATGCAAATGTGAGTAAACTGAGACGGATGTGACACACAAGCCTATCACAATTATATGTGTATGGGTATTTTTTGGAAAACTACCAACTGCTTTGCCCATCCTTCCCGCCATACCGTAGACCCAAGTTTCATATGACGGTGTTTTCTAAAAAAAAAAATCGCACAAAACGAGGCCCCTTGCCTCGAAACCCCTAAATACTTACATATGTGAGGACTTTGTGGAGGGATGCTGCGTAGCCCATAAGCGGAGCAGTAAGCGAAACTGCACAGGTAATCCACAAGCAGCTCCGTCAAACTGAGCATGTCTGAGCCAGTGAAAAAGGAATATCCATTGTTTTTATTAAAAATTATACTTTTTCTATTTGTAATAATTAAATGATACAATACTTTGTCAGATGCTCGTCGGCATTCGATGGCTAAAATTCTTAAGAAAGGTAGAATTCGATAATACTTTGTTGACCCTAATAATGTATATTATGGCTGAGTGCGATTACGAAAATTACCTTATGGTAGCGTTTTTCGGATAACTGCGTGACTAATTCCCCGAACTCGGTGATAAAATTTTTCCATTCAGCAAAGCCCTACGAATGACTCGATACGACGCAATAATCAATCACCGGTGGAATAGTCTGCTTTTATACTTCATTCCTCCCCCGCTATACCCCTCCCCATAAACCCATACAATATGCCCACACCAACTAATAGAGGTACGTTCAATTGTCGATCACAACTAATACGATCGATACGTAGCTGTGTGATTGAATAGGTCTTGCAATATCTCATTGTGCATATTGTTGTCAAACAGTGTCATCGCTTTTTTCTCACCTACCGTCAACTTCTGGCCAATAGCTTCTTGAGCTCTAAGCATGACCCGTTTGAGCACATGTAACTGGGCCTTTTTGCTAAAACCCAGCAACAAATTCTGCGCAATTGTAACTGCGTGTATGATTTTAGCTTGCGGCTAAGCTGGTGCACACATGGGTACAATATCTAATACTATAAATGGAAGGCAACGCCAATAAGAATAGTGATTTCGTCAGGACGATAGTATTATTTACTGTTCACAAAGGTAATCTGGCAAGGGTCTTGTCCTATACATGCATTCTAGCCCCACTTTGACCCTGTCTCATTCATATAAGCGTCGATAGAGCATATATTATTAATGTACAGGCGACGCTGTGTATATCTGCTTCTGTAAATCATACACAATAGTAAAATTACTAATGCATATTAAAAACGCAGCTTGTATCTATCAAATGCCTAAAGTAATAATTGCTAACAATTAGGTTCTAATAATTGTTTTCGAAGTTGTCTCAAGAGAGGCTGTTTGCCCCCATCGATCCAATACGGGTTATGTAAATAGATCGTTGTTGTTTAGAAATAGGGAATTAGGAAGCCGAATTTACAGCCCAAACGAATGTTTTGCTAATGCTCACTGCTGTTTTCGACATTGTCCGTACTACCAGGTGAACTACTTTTAACCAGCATACAAGAAGCGTTTAAATAGCATATAATGCCGACAACCCGTTACGTATTCAAACTAATTTCTATCGCTTCAGGGACAACATCTCCTTTAATAGAGATATGGACTCTGAGAAAATTAGCCCTATGAATATACAAATATAAACATGTCTTCAAGTGCCAAATAAGAGGAGAATTCTATTATATATATATATATATATATATATATATATATAGCGCGTAATTACGTGATATTCCACATCTGTAGGATCCTATGTCAAGCGTTATTTCTGTTTTTTACTTATACGGTAGAACAAATGTTCCCTATCTTTTTGCGGAACAGCAAGATCGCGTAAATTATAGGCGAGCCGGAAAAACGATGGCTACTTATGTTTGCCTATCGTCTAAAATCATATGCCCTCTATATATACCTATGTTTCGTGGTGAAATTTTCGTAACGGAGTGACGACAAAATGGTAATAAAATATTTTAGGCATTAAATTATGCTAAATTTTCCCCCAAAAAAAAGTTTTAGGCTTTTGTAGTTTTTCAGCGCAATAGCCTAGTGTTCAGATTGATTTACCCAGGAGTATCAGGACTCCATTATTTGTGGTTGAATTCTTATGAAATTTACTTTAGATGCTTAGATTTACAGCGTTTACTAACTAACGAAATGTCTAGCGTGTCAGGTACTGTTCAAGTTATGACGTTTCAGGAAGGATTTGTTCCCCAAAAATTTCGCCTTTCAATCGTGGGATTAAACGAGATTTTCCTAATCAAGATATGAAAAAGCAGGGATCGAAATGTTTGTGTAAAAAAGACTAGAGTAGGTTTTTTCCAATGCAATCAAATGTTCTATTTGTTTTCAATAATTTTTCTGTTAACTAACCACATACTGCTAGTTATATTGAACAGAAAAACCGTAGCCATAAACTGATTAAGCACGAGCTTATCGCCTGCAACAATGCAGACGAAGTTTGTATCGGTAATTTTCATAATAATCGGCCCGAAAGAACATTGTACAGCAGAAGAGAAAACGGTAAAGGCTACTTAGACATTGCTTGTGATGCATATAAATGATAGGAAAGCTAGACCCCTAAGAGGCGGGCAATGGTATAAACCTAATAATTGCTGATAACACAACGTAATCAGCTTATCACCACATAGAGCCGTTGACGGACGTCACAGCATAAAGTTCATCTTGCCCCGCTTAAAATACGTTGCAACAGGGCATGGCAAAGAGGCCCGTATGGCCGAATCCTGAAGTTATATTAAAATCAATTAAACAATGATTATTACACCATCAACTATATTATACACTTACGAAAAAAGAGAGGGCCACCAATAAGTGTCCTCATGTACTTTTGCCATCTAGATATCGGCAAATGTAATATTAAAGACGTAAATGCTGTTTGAGTGTACTTGTGTTGGCTTGAAAAATAAAAAACTAAAGGAAGCCCCAAAAAATATATATATATATACGAGAAGGAAGGGCAAAAAATATCGGTATTACTGGCCTCACAATAAATACACTTAAATGGAAAAAGGATACTCCTGTCGTCTGTTGTTCTACATGATATTGCCGAAGCAATTAGTATTGCTCTTATTAGCATTATCATTAAGGGGCAAATCAGAAACGCAGCCAAAAATACCTAACAAATTTGAATGAAAAGTGGTGATGACCAACGGTGAGGTAAATTCGTAGCCAGCTGTAGATGAAATAATAGAAGTCGATTGGTTTATCTCAATCTGATTGACGATCGGTCGATCACATGTATATGCCAATGATGATACAGGTGATAATAACAGTGAAAATGAAAATAAATATACCTATACCTATATATATATATATATATATATATATATATATATATATATATAGCTGATTAAGCAATGAAGCATCTTACGAAATGTTGTTGTTCAAGGTCATAAAGAATAATAAAACAAATAAAATGATGAATGTATTTAACTGAAGGAAACTGGCACTTTCGTTATTAGTATAGGTACGTATCGGGAAGAATATTCTTTACTACTATTGAAGTATTTTGAAGGGACAATAATAAAGATCAAGTTTACTTATTTATTTTAGAATATACATATGAAGCAGAGGTAGTGCAAAGATAACGATTCGTTCTAGAGAGGTTTGGACTAGAGACCAAGCGTGCGCACCTCATCGTGCGAGTCAGCTATCCAAGGTAACACCTAACGGCAGTACTAAACGTAGAATCGTAACGTCTACTATAGGACATCTTGTACAACAGTTTATTGTTACGGAACTCCCAAACACCAAAATTTCCCCGAGGAAAATGTCAGAAAATATTATCATTGTCATTGCCAATCTCAACGTATTTGCCGATACATTGGCGTTGCCTAAAAAATACTTCCTACACAAGGAGAGGGTCATATCATGCGGACTATTAGGGACTGTGCTTGTAACTTGTCGCTGTTATAAAAGCGCGGCCTTACGTAACTCAAGAACAGTGATACAGCTGCATCCAGCCCGACACCCAAATTCAGCAGGATAACTTGCGTTAATTCGCTCGACGTTATCATAGCCCATTAAAGATCATTGTATCAACTGCTAGTAGATGATCTCAAACGTTTTTTGACGACCCCATTTAAACGGTCTCCACTGTCGCATAGAAATAACTTACTAGGCACAAATATCTGTCGCAATAGCTACCTCTGATCTAATGTGGTAAGCCAAATGATTCCGTTAGACAATTTGCGGTTCTAAGAAGTTCTTCTAACTGCAATTGAACTGTATCTGTTTACTATACTATTCACGCTTCAGCAAGGTCTCATGGTTTTACCATTGCGTTTTGTATAACTGGACTCTACGTGGTGAATTAACTAAGCCCTGCGCTTTTAAAGTGTTAAAGAGAATTGCTTGTAAACATACAGAGTGATATCCAAAATGCGCACTATTACTTCAAGTGGGTTTAGTTAAGTAGATCAGTAAAGCATACAATGTTTTCAAATGATCGTCCTGTCACTAAATGTCGAAAGAGATCTATGTATAAAGGTACGTAAGGGAGATTGCTTAGGTAAATACTTGCTTTAGGACCACTTTAATTTAATTAACTAAGGCTAATTTTTGTGATTAACTCTCATCGTTAATTAGAGCCTTAAAATGAATTTATGGAAATATTTCCCTTTGAAACTCAAGAGACCAATAATTAACAAAGAATCCACTCAGCGAATATTAATTGTCAAGGATCCATTTAATCTGCTGGTTTTGGAAACACTAAATCTTAAAATCTTTGAAGAAGATGAAAGGCAGATCGCCTGAGATGGTTTTGCTTGGTGAAGCTTAAACAAGTAAGCAAGTATCTTGTAAGAAAAAAATTATCGCATTTTGATGAGTACAGTTAGTTCTTTTTTAAAGAAAAATGTTCTTCTCATTTTCATGGTACGGCACCCATTTTATATGCGTTTTATGCAAAATATTTCTTAGTATAATATAAATGGACGCTTCATGTTTATCTCTACTGCATTGCATGCATAAGAAAGCAAATAAAAGAAGACAAAAAACAACGATATATTGGCTTCCACAATGGCGGTTTCGCTACGGTACAGCTGGCGCCTTAGCATATCACAGAATTGTCTCTGCCGGTTTCAGCTGCCTCTGTCGCCTTTTGTAGGCAAACTAGTCGTCGTACGTCGCCGAGTCCGGCAGTACCAGGAGCGAAACTGATCC